ATAGTCAACATAGGTAAACCAAAGATAAGTATTACCGATAATTATGATAGATTATAATAATTTTGTATTTTAATAGTTGATCATATTTTAATTAAACATCAAATCCATCAAAAACTTAATAATATCGCAGCGAACGAGTACGCAGATTAGCTAGTTACAGTTTATAGCTCTTGAATGAACCTCATGTTTCCATTCCTGCTGATACCAGTCACAGACTATAATAAATTTATGACCATCTTTTATAAAAAACAAATAGAAAGTGGGCTTACAGTTCCTTACCAGCCAGTTTACTTTAAATATAAAACCTCCGACATGGTACTCTGAATCAAATCGGAAGTATATAGGACGGCTCGACCTGAACTGTTGTACCTTTTGTAGTACATGTCTACCGGTGCTCGAAGACATCAGAGAATCTGTTGTGCTTATGTCCATGCTTATCAAGGGCCAAGCTTAAACTCTTTGGCACCCAATTCATGGTGTTGATATAAATATTGAAAACGGTATGTAAGATATATAAACTTGTGCTTATTGTGAATTTGACTAATATATGTTAATAAATTGTCAGTAATTTTATGCGAAGCATAGTTGAGCCTGAACGAAGTTAGACCTAGCTCTTTTGTGTGTGTAGATATTAGAGATAAAGATATTAGGAACAGTTTTTTTCAAAAATTTGTTTTTTAAAAATATTTAAAATTATTTAAAATTGTGTCATTTATTTAATTTTGAAATTTAAGATACAATTTTATGCAAATTAAAACAGCAGCGGCATAAAAATGATCGGTATGATCTTTCTAAACTCTTACATATTTTAAAGTTTCTTAGAGCCTTCAAATGGAAAAGGGACAGACGTGTAAGACTGCAGGTGTAAACGGAAGGCGTTTATGCAACTGTCACCAACAAAACAAAAATTTATAATTTTATGTACTTCAATACGTAATCGTAAATTGCACTTGTACAATTGCATCAAAGGTGAAACGGATCGAAAGAAACCCTTCAGTAAACGATATCGATCGTCGGTTTAACTGATCGCCTAATCGCCTGATCGACGCACAAGCACATTTTACCTTGAATCCCAATACATTTTAAGGGTGTCGTCGTTCTCCTCGACAGTGCCGTCAATAAATTTGTTTATATTTTGGTGCGGTTTGTTGTGTGACATTTTTATCTAATTGACAATGTTTCGGTAGATGCTCATTCAGATATTTAATTTTTGTTTTTATTTTTTGTGAGGAACTCAAAGTCGAGGCATTGCAAATTTGTCATAAACATTTTTTTGGGGCGTGCTATAGGACAAAGAGAAGAAAAAAAAAGAAGTCTGTGGTAGTTCTTTCAAAATATAGGTTATAAAAAATATAAGCATAGTAAATATCATTTGTGGATTTAGAGATTTTATGGTACCATAAAACAATTTAAATGAAGAATATAATACAATTCCTGCAACGGCTAAAAGTTAAACCCACTCATCAAAATTATTTTTAAATTGCATTTAGTACTTTTATGTTTTTCCATTTCTTTGGTTTCACATCATTGTAGTTATTTTATGCTTTTGTTAAGACTGTACTTTAATTTCATTTTCCACTAATTTCGGCTAATTTGTAGCACAACCTACTGATTTAAGGACCACCGGAGAAGTGTACAATGATATTCGCTAATTTCTGCCTTATCACGCGAAACATTTTTATTTTTAAAGACTACTCCAAGTACTATTCTCTACTATAGATTATTTTTCGAAAATTGGTACAACCCACATCAATATTTTCCATCCATAATTTCTTATGAAACTTTCATTAAAATGTTTAAATTCCAATAGAATTTTATGAATTTATCGACAGTGTGCTCTTGACTTGTTCGGCACGCTTATTTAACGTGCTGGTATGTCTAATGAGGTAGCGCCAGTAAAGGCGGTGAAATCAAAAGTAACTCACCGTCACCCATATCAATTGGGAAATTTGCTAAGTTGTAATGGTCGTAAACAAGATTTTCCATTGCGATATTTTCTAAACAAGGGTAACAAATTACCGATCGGCTTGTTTCCATTTGCTCATCGCATCTACAAAATGCTCACAAAGAACGCTCGGCCGGGTAGTCAAGCCATACTCAATGGCAAATTTGCTTGGTCAGTCGGTTTGTGATGAGTTCTCCTCTATTTTTCAAGCGGCAAATTGTAAATTGCTCAAAAGTGTTTTATCTATGAGTTTGCAAGTAACCTGTTGTGTTGTCTGGTTGCTATCTTCTTTTTGTGGGTTGCAATCTTGTTCTCATCTAAAAAGTATCCTGCTTTCTCGCTGACAAATTTTTGTTAAGCGAAGTTCTTGTGTCCAAACTGCTGATGCGATCATTCAAATATTCAATAAATATTGTTATTGTTGATGTTAAAGTAGGGATTATTCTTAACATTCTTGTAATTTTAATGATTTTCAAGGATAATTTTAAGCTCGTTATTCTTTTCTTTATTTTGGCAGTATGCAGGAAGCGCCTACTTCTCATATCCGCCTGTCTTAGCAGAAGAGCGTTAAGATTAGAATGTTCCGTTTTGTTTTGACTCTGCTTATAATCTATAATCATCTTATTATGCTTAGAAAACCATAATTAGAGATTTTATCACATATAAACAAGATCGTATCTAAATAAGATGTGCATTATATGCTATACCATTCATATTATCAACAATTCGACAAGGATATAAATAGAAAAAACTTGGAATATATATGCATATATATATTTACGTTTTACAAAAGAAAAAGTCTATATATAACTAATCATGAATTATAGCTTTTTAATTTACTCGTTTTATAAGACTCGTATACAAGACCACTGATGATGGGTATTTGGCAATACTCGAAACAGCTGTATGGTCAACCAAAAATTCAATTAATTAAAATAATATAAAAAATAAATTTTTGTTGTTGTATTTCACTTCTGTTCGAAAAAACCTCTCGTATTATAATTTAATAATCCCATGTAATTAGATTTCAATATGTAAAAAAAAATCTGTCCTTGGAACAATTATTAAAAATCTATCTATCAATGTTAAACGGTTTACATTAGAAAAAATCTGTTCTTGGTATGACTATTGTAAATTGATCTATCATTGTAGATTTTTTTTTTGTGGTGGTGGAAAGCATCAAAAGCCACTGAGACTTGAACTTAGTGGGTTCACCACCAGGAATTATTGGAAGATTGCAACCACATTTAGCAGATGCAACGCCATTCCAGTAGTGAGAGACAAAGAGTAGAGAAGATAGGCTTATTATTTAGCAAGCTAAATTTATCAAAGCCAGAAGGCATGGTCGTTCTAATTTAGTAAGGGATGGGTTTATATGTGAAGTGGGTAAGGATGACACAGATTGCGGGGTGTCTAGCAAGGTGTAAACTCTATACTCCGGGTCATAGTAACCTCGGCTATAGAGCTGAATGCGTGGCGGAAGAGCAAGCTCTTCTTCAAGATAGTTAAATGTGCGTCTCTGACAAATACAAGCAAAGTAGATAAAAGCCGAGTGTTGAAACAGATATCCCACATGATATTAAGAAAAATATATTGAAAATGATTATAAACAGTGAGATTAATACAACTAAATAAAAAAAACACTAATTTCTTTTATAAATAATTAATTCAAAATATATTATTTTTCTTTTTTTTAAACTATTTTTTCAAACAGTCAAACTTCCAAAAATCGAACTTCTATAACTCGAATTTCTCTATAACTCGAATAAATATATTGTCACGTGCCAATAGGAATGTAGGAAAGTGCGTTCTATAAGTCGAATTTTTGTGTTTAGTATGAATTCATAATTGGTGTTAAGGGAAGTCCTTTTTCCAAACCAAACGATTGATACTCCAAATGACGATTACTATAAGGCTTGGAATAAATTGGAATCTTTAAATTGGAATTAAACTCCTAAACCCTAGTTTCTGAATGTTTCACTTGACTATAACATCTGTGCTGTATTTGATTGATGGTACGTCGAGTTATAGAAGTTTGACAGTATTTTAACAAAAAAAAATATATTGCAGTTGGCAATTATACAATTGCGTTTAATACACATACATATGAAAATGGTACGTCGAGTTATAGAAGTTTGACAATATTTCAACAAAAAAAATATATTGCAGTTGGCAATTATACAATTGCGTTTGATACACATGACAACTCTAAGCTTTACGCATGGAAGACAAGTTATTCACCACAAGTAAAATTTTCTCCAATGTTTATTTCACCTCCTTATACCAAGTAAAAGGAAAATATTCTTTAAAATTTAAAAATCAATATTGATGAACATTTAATTATAATTTTTTTATTAAAGTGTTGTATGAGGTTAACTGGTTCTTCACTATAAACTATAATAATTCGTAAAACTTAATATAATATATATTTAAATTTTTTTTACTAAATTGGCAAGTTTGTTGCATTTTATTTTAATTTGTATTTTAGTTTAATTAATTTTAATTTAAAATCAAAGCATTTTATTAAGGCTTTATTAATTAAAAAATAATTTTGTTTTTTTTATTACTTTGAACAAAGTTTAGACTTAAAAACAGTTAATGCAAATATATACAAACTTATTTTAATTTTAATTTTTTTGTTAAAATTTGTGAAAACAATTCAATAATTCCTGTTTATTTTATTTGCAACGAAAAGCAATTAATTTCTCACGCTTATTGGCCAATCAAAAATAAGTAAATCTTTTCCACCACACACAAACAACATGTAACTATGTTCATTCCATTGGCTATGCCATGAATTGCGAGCACGTGCTGCCGTTTCTGTGAGATTCCAACACATAAAACCGCTCAAGCTGAAGCCAACCACCGTTGAGAAATCAGCAAAACGAGTTCTGCATTATTCACCACTACATCGTATATCGCACATCAGAAACTAACACAAATACCTTCGCTCGATTGAAGTAACTGGTTTCGTACCTGTTGAGGTAGATTTTATTCACTAAATGCGTTTGCCGAGGTATAAATAGCAGTGCGGGATGTGAAATGTGTCAGATTCCTTTAAGTTCGCAGTGGATGTGCACGCTAAGAGTTTGTGGATATAAAAGAGTTTAAATAAAATTTATTACGAACATTTTTTTACAAATAATTTAAATATGTCGTCCAGTGAAGTTTATCGTTATTATTACAAAACAACAGAAGATCTGCAGGCGTTTAAAACAAATGCTATGGAAAATTATTTTAATCCGATGGCAGCATATAATCCTCCAGTGCAACAACAAAACCAATATAATTGTAATTCGCTCAGCAACTCCAACAATTTTTTAACAACAAATGGATTCATCAATTTTGAGCAAGCATCCTCGGATGGCTGGCTTACTTCGTCGCCTGCAAGTCATCGTTCCGAAAGTCCAGAATATGTAGATTTAAATAGTATTTATAATACAACTATAGGCCAACAAATGCTACAACCAGTTAATCAATTTGGCATCAGTTTAGAACAACCACAACAATTATTAGCCGAACTGCAGCAGACCCCCATAATGGGTTCTTCAAATATGGGCACATGCAAAACTGTACCTACAACTTCCGCAACTAAACCAAAACGTCAATATACACGAAAACAGCAACACAACACAGTTCCTGCTACTACTTCAATGATGCCTGCACAACAAAGTCCCACCAGCGAGACGAGTCTTCACCTATATAACGAAGAATTTCAAAATTTTGACTTCAATAATTCCGCACTTTTTGATGTCGACGATAGCGTTGATGATGATGATGAAAATATGCTACTATTTGGCCACGCACAGGATGATTTCAGTGGGAGTTCTAATTTTGATATCGCCGATGAGGAAGCCGAAGATGCGCTGTTATCAAATATTGAAACAGAGAAGACAATAGGCAAGAGGAAGCGCGGAAAACAAATCTCACCTGTAGTTAAACGCAAACGCCGCTTAGCCGCAAATGCACGTGAACGTCGTCGCATGCAGAATTTGAATCAAGCATTTGATAGGCTACGTCAGTACTTACCTTGTTTGGGAAATGACCGCCAACTCTCCAAGCATGAAACCTTACAAATGGCACAGAGCTATATCGCAGCTTTAGGCGATTTGTTACGTTAACTTTTAGTTGAATAATTAGTTGCACTTGTTAGAAAAATGTATATAACCAAAAATATTTTTATATTTTAGACATAAAACCAGTGTTCTTTTGTATTATATTTTTATAGTATTTAAAATAGTTTATTCATATTTTAATTAGTAAATTAATTAGTAATGTTTAATTGTTATGTGTAAGATATTTTTCCGGAAGACAACGATTTAAAAGATAATTCATTAAAAAACTACTTAACTAAATTAAATTGACTTCTTAATAATCTTAATAATTAATTGATTTTGGGTGAAGCTACTTACTTTTTTTCTTTCTTAAAAATAGTTTCTTGTACTTCTGATCTCGTTTAATTGAAAAATTCTCCCATTGGTTTTCGAGAAAGAACTCGCAAATACAGTTATATAGTTATTTTATCTTCTTGCTATAGTAGCGATTTTTTACTCACCAAACTTTAAAATAAATTAAAGTAACGAATCATCTTTAAAAACAGGAACCACATTTACGGTGTTTTGAAGAGAAACTTTTAAACAATAATGGAATTTTCACGTTATAATTTGTAAAACTATCTTAGCTAAAAGTTTTCCGCATGACTTTTGAAAAACATTAGCATTAACGAAACATACACTTTCTAATTTTATCCCACCTCAAAAATAATTATATTAACATCTGTTGATAAGACCTTCATTGGATAGCAAAATTATATATATTAGGCTATTGTCAGCTGGAAGATATCTTAGAAAGAAGATAGTAGTTCAGTAGTTTATTTGGCCATCTTACGAGGTTATCACTTACGAGGTTAAGTTTGAGCTATTTAAGTTTAATAATAAAAATTTACAAAGCTAAAACATTTGATATTACCAAGAGTTTCCACTAGTTTTATTAAATGGATTCGTTTAGATCATTTGTATCAACTATTTTTTGAGTATCAGTTGTGAGGTTTTTAAAAACATAATACGTATATTGTCACCTTTGGTTTGTTGCAAATTTTTCAGTAGTCGTCATAACTTAGTGATTGTCTTCCTGGACTAACTTTTATGATGTCCATGGTAAAATGATTCGTGGTACAAATGATAAACATTAATTATCATACTTATTATTTTCATATCTAATATATAGACACTTCATAATATATCATCAACGGAAGATACTTCTTGTTAACTTCCTCTTAAATCGCGTATGGTTGCTCTTGATTGAAATTTGCGTTAGATGGTACTGTAGTGCTATCTACTTGCAATAACTTAATTTTTAAATACATCTCAATTTATTGAAATGAACAGTACATTTAATACTATATATAAATGATATATGTCCTTGTCAATTTTCCCATGAAATGAACAGTACATTTAATACTATATATAAAGGATTTATGTCCTTGTTAATTTTCCCATGTTTTTACTTAGTTATTATATTATTACAAACACTAGAGGTTACTCGTATATAAGAATATTTGAACTGGTAGTAAAATACTAAGGTACTTCCATTGAAACAAAATAAATTTGTTTGGTATAATAGAGATATTATTATAAATGCATTTTTCCAGTATAACTACTTAGAACTGTTCCGAAAGTTAAGAATGTCAAATTATAAAAGAATGCGTGAATGTATCAAGGCACATATATAACTGTAAAATAGAGAAAAATGTAAAGTAAGACAAGCACTATATATTTGACAAAGGCTCCTAGAAGTGACTTTAAATAACAAATATGCGTCTGTGTAGGGCCAAAGAATGAGAAAATTAGACCGGTAATAATTGAACAGAAGTGGTCATATAACATATAACCGCATACATTTAGTGAAGAATGGATTTGCGGTATGGCAAAGTGTGTATGAAAGTTATTACCGGGAATATATCCAAAATGTTTACAATTATTTATTCTATTCTCAATTTAGATATTTGATAGTAATTAATAAGAATATGGATGCTTGCCATTACAAGCTTATATCGAAAGTAATTGCAATTATTTCAATTGAAGTGTTCAATAGATAAAAGATAGGTAAATTTTCCTAGACGTCTTTTATTTTGTATTGAGCTTATCAAATTATTAGTTTCATGTTTCTTATTACTTATTTAGTTTCATTTTGGATTTTGTTATTGGATTTTTTACTTTTGTATGTTAGCAAATATTTGCAGTGTACAAATATCGGCACAATACTTAGCGCCTCTGCACTTAACTTTAGTGAGGTGATCGATTTGGCGCTTCGTGATCGATTTGGGACTGTAAAATAAATAGGATTCGCTGAAAAGGAAACACCCAAAAGTGAGGAAAACAAATAAACTCAACACAATAACAAAGTAGTGCAATATTGTGGTAATAACACTAAACCGAAACCAGGGTACGACTTAACTGATGGATGATGCCAAACTAAGTTAGCCATTGATCCATCCACAACAATGAGTAAAAGCAACTTATTCCACCGAAAAAGGCAAAATCAAGAATACATATAAAATGAAGTGTGAGTCCCAAAATAAATTGCACAGATTTTATTATTTCAAGAGTTAGTGTCGTGTGTGCTTGTATCTTCATCGTCAGTTTTGGTTGCGACTATGTGTCGATCACTGCAAGGATAAGCGGTGATGAAACCTCAGCCATACAAACTTAAGCGCGCAGATCACACAAAAATTTCAGTTAATTCCACTTCGAAATATTTACCAAATTAAAAAAAAAAACTAAAAACTAAAAATTATTTTAAAAAGGGCAAAAAAAAAATTGAACCAATTTGCTGATATCGCTGAACTTACCATCATCAGCCCAATTTGTTGGCACTTTATACTGAACTTGGTTCCGGCGCTTGCTTATACGAATTAAAAGTAGCCGGTCGATCAGTCAGATGTGTGATTATGGGAATGAGACAATTGGAGGATGTTTTGTTTGTTTTAGGAAAACACTTTTTTGTTAAGATTTCGATTTGCTATATAAAAGAAGCATTATTCCGCTGAATGGTGGGCGTAAACGCGTTTATGTTGCTTGCTGTTTGATCGTAATAATAATGATCAAGAGGAAATTCACATAATTAGTTTTAATCTTGGGTGTTATGTGCTTTTTTTGTTTCGCTTCTGTGATCAAATTTTGCTACTTTTCTTTGGATTACTTATCCAAAGATCCAATATACGTGTTTTTTTGATAAAGTGTTGAGTAGTGTGTATTGATCGCACCACCAAGCTTAATAAGCGGTTAGCCAAACTATTTAATGTCTTTATTTAATCTCTAGAAATACACTGAGAATTATTATATGCAAAATTGTTGTTTGTTAATTTTCTAAGGTTATGCGAACACGGTGGCTATGGGAAAAGTCTATATATCCCCTATAAACACTGAGCTTTCGTAATAGCATAAAGTTTATATTTAATGTCTTTATTTTATCTCTAGAAATACACTGAAAATTATTATATGCAAAATTGTTGTTTGTCGTTTTTAAGAGAAAATTTTCTAAGGTTATGTGAACACGGTGACTATGGCAAAAGTCTATATGTCCCCTATAAACACTGAGCTTCCGTAGTAGCATGCAGTTTTTTTTATATATATTTTTTATTTTGATCTTTTCGGATTGTTAGTGGTGAGCAACTTACGTATGTTCGGCAAACGTTTACAAAGCGACCAGTCAATTTGTCAATTAAACAAATTATTTCTTCCTCCCGTTTCACAAAAATGTCGACATTTCAGTTTGCATTGTTGCAGAGTTAACGAGACTGAACTGCATACAGTCTTTGGTAACCTGGGTTAACCAAGATAAAATACAAATGAACTTATACTTAATAAGAAGAGTTAAATCTGCCACCTGCATGCAGGTGCAAATATACCACAAACAAAGATACAAAAAAGCTTTAGCTGAAGCTGGAACAGAGGCACTTAGAATACTTATGAATGGTAAGATACAATTATTGTTCGATAATCCCAACCGATTGGGAACTACTAAATCGCATGTCTTTGACAATTTACAATTCTTTATAAGTTTTTGAAACATATTATTAACGCTTGTTATTGTGCATTTTAAAAATAAACAGCAAGAACGACAATAGCATCGCCAGTGGACCCCCAAAATTTGCACGAAATGCATTTTACACTTTTTTATGGATATTATCTCATCTTTTTTTGCACCGCATGCTTTGTTTTATTTGTGCTTAATCCTTGCTCTTCTCTACTGCAGCTTGGAGTACATGTGAAATTTGTCATGTCGATAATTGGACTACAACGACTTATTCACAGTATGACACTGACATTTACCCAAATAAGCTAATGAGCTTTAACACCAACAATTTGTCATTCCTTATTAAATCTTAATCCCGAAGCCACAATTGTTGGTCCAAGTTTTGGATTTGACAAAAACAGCCACGATGAAGAGAGACAGCGGCTTCATTGAAATCATTGAAGTCCTGTGTAAAATACAAAATTATTTTTTTTGACTTAAGCAAGGAAATATGAACGTAAGATTAAACTAAATTATAATAATTATTTTTTTCGCTATATAAATTTTTTTTTTGGGTTTTAAAAAAAATGTTAAAATTTTGGTTTTACAAAAATTGTTTTATTTTTCTTACTCGTGTTTCATCTTCTTTACTTATGTGAATCCTACGCATTTTAATTGCTACTTGAAGTTCAAGCAGAAAAATTCCGATTTTTTATAAAAGAAATCAAATACCAAAAAAAATATATTTTATAAAAAAAAGAAAAAATTTAACCAAAATGCAATTGCGGCACTGCCTGATATGGGCACAATTCTATCTCAACCACAAATGTAACGATTGTTACTTTTATATCCACTTCCGCAACTTCGCCTGATCTCATGTGTGAAACACTTCTGCTAATCCCATAATTACACTCACTCTATTGCAATTTAATTGACAGGGCCACAAAATTTGTTGTGGTCGTTTTTAGGTAGACACCAGAATTATTGCATGTCTATGATTCTTCGCTATACCTCGTATTTCGAGATAATATTTTTTCATTAATGTCCTTTTATTAAAAAATAACAAAAATAAATACAAAGCAGGATCTTATAAAGAAAACAAGAAATACTTGAAGTCAATTTAAATGATTTAAAATGAAACTTCATATGGTTTGGGTTTAGACCAATGTAAGTTTGGAGTTATGTATATCATTTTATATATACACATGTATTTAATAATATTAAATTGATATGATTTATAAATTATTTAGACAAATTAATGTCAAAACATACACACTTTAAACGGAGCATAATCAATTACTCTCTGCATATTTTTTTAGTGATACAATGA